ATTTTTATAAAAATGTTAGTTTCTTAGTTTAAACATTTGATATGTTTGATATTGATATGACATGTAATTAAATACAGTGATGAGATTTGTAAGTGATTGTATTCTGTTTTTATTTACATTTCACACAACTTTTTCAGATTGGTTGTATGTTAAATACATGTTGCTTTCTAAGTTGTCCTAATTGTTTTAAATTATGTCTGTTTTTCAAAAGGATAAAAAATTTGAAAAATAGACATAACTTTAGTGTTTTTTGTTTGTTTTTTTAGCATGACTTTTTAATTATTTTCAGAAAAATTTAAATTCTTGTTTGTGGTTTGTGAAGATTAAGTTAAAGGGTTCATTTTAGAGGGTTAACTTAAACCTGACAGTTACACTGTAAAATTCAAAACAATATGTTTATCCACTGATTCCATTTAAATCAAATTGTGGCTTCTCTGCTGCAGCGTTGCAAAGACAAGCTGAACTCTCTGGCCATCTCTGTGATGAACCACTGGCCCGGGGTTCGGCTGAGGGTCACCGAAGGCTGGGATGAGGATGGTCATCACTCAGAGGAGTCACTGCACTATGAGGGCCGGGCGGTGGACATCACAACCTCAGACCGGGACAGAAACAAATACGCCATGCTGGCACGTCTGGCGGTGGAGGCCGGCTTTGACTGGGTCTACTATGAGTCCAAAGCCCACATTCACTGCAGCGTCAAGTCAGGTGAGAGAACCAGCACGGTTCAGGTTCCTTCAAATTTACACAAAAAAGAAATTAATTTGTGTCATATTTTTGGTTATGGCAATAAAACAACTCAAAATTTTCATTTTAGGTTATTAAAAAAAGTAAGATAAAATAATTTAATATTAAACACAAACCTTCATCTCTCATTGATGATGTGTGGTCTTATATGGTTCATGTTGGCAAGGTTCTTCTTTGTATTAGTACTTTGAGTCAAATCTGCCACTTTTTGTCCTGGAAATCTATGACAAATAGCAACAGAATATTCCAATACATCTCCTCTCCAGAATATTCAATACTATTTTACTAGATGCTATTATTATTCTGAAAACATTGAACAGTCATTTGTTTGACAATGTTTAATTTTGTTTTGTTCTGTTTGGAGAGAATGATTTGAAACTGATCTGTCCATATGCCTTAGAGATAGAGTGAGGAGCTCTGTCAACAAAAGCTTTGAAATTTTAAAATGCATTTCCAGCAGATCAGCTCACTCATGGAAGCTTAGCTTAATGTTAAATACTAGCCACAGTTTTCAAGAAATCATGCCAAGAGTGTTCAATAATGCGAATGCTGAGTCAGCAAATTGTTTTTCTATTTATACTTTCTTCTATACATTTTTTTGCAAACCACTGTACGCTATTTTAGCCGTTCATATATCAAAACATTCAGCTTATTCAAGAGATGGGACTTCCTATTTTTCTATCTTTTATACTTAAAATGTTTTCTATTTACTAATAAAACTATTATGTTATTTACTTATAAAATTTATCGTAGAAATACAACGAAATGTCTAGTTTCTTCAATAATACTGAAATCTGCTTCAGCTAAAGGCTCTGTCTCTCTTACTACTTTTAGCTTCCAGCTACGATTTTATTAGCATTTTATTTAGATTTCTACTACTTAATGTTCTGAAACTTTTATTTTTTTTTAACTGAGGATTTGCTACTTTTAGCTTTCAGCTACATTTTGTTCCTTTTAGCCTAGCTAATCTTCTATTTTTAGCTCTTATCTACCTTTTTTAACTTTTAGGGACTATTGTGCTATTTTTTTTTTTTTTTTTTTTTTTTTTTTTTTTTTTTTTTTTTTTTT